AATTTTTGAGGTTGAAGTTTCCTTTTGGATTAAGGTCTGTAATTGGGCTGGACTCTCCATATCTCCATCATATGGCTTGCTTTCTGATGTGTTTGGGCTCGTTTTTCCTTTCAAAGTTAGTCTGGTCTCTGATATGTATTTTTACAGGTACCTGGCTCCACCTTGGTCTTAGTACTTCAGAGTTGTAGTTTTTAATCTATTTGCCTTGGGATTTCACTGAGGCCAACTTTCTCTGTTCATCAAGGAGCACTGTGGAGCCCTGCGGAGGTGTGCTCATCCACTCCCAGCCAACAAAGTGGTTGTCATGTCTTTCATGTTCAGGAGGAAATTGGGTTCGATTCCCAGTCAGAACAGGGCCTTTCTGAGTGGAGTTTTCATGTTCTCTCCATGTCGATGTGGGTTTCTTCAGGGTGCTCTGGTTTCCTCTGGATGCTCTGGTTTCCTTTTCCCACTAAAATTGTGTACTTGCACTAACCAAGCCGACCATCAACCTTCAAAGATAAGTATCCATTGGAAGGTTGGGTCAAATGCACATATCCTACAGGGATGATTAAGTATACACTGGACAATAGATGATCGGCTGAATGGCGGTGGTCCTCTCTTTTTCAATTAATTGTCTGAAAAAGCTGATCTAAAGATGTGAATATGTGCAATTCCATACAAAGCAATTCAGGGGAAGGACCAGGAAAAAGTATGGCTCTAGGCACGACCGAAGGACAGACAGAGCACGGGCCTTCATCTCCCAGAACCGAACACTCCTGGTACAGGTTTTCTTTTCCACTCTGGTCACAGTATACATGCTCTCCAACTCTCCTTACATGCGGCCAGCCCTGTGGTTATCGGGCGTATAGAGACAGCCTGTGGCCACTCGTGAAGGGACCACGGTTTAAAGGCGATGAAAGAGGAGATGGGATGAGTGCAGAGGAGAAAGGATCAGATCGTGTTCCTCCTTCAGACCTCCACCACTTTAGACATCAACTCAAACAAAGCAGACTGCGTTTCAACCCGAGGGGAGCAGACCGGGGGTTATACAAGAGACAAGTGTCCAAAGGAGAGCTGGTCATGTTTCACTGTAAACGGATTACAGACTGTAGGAAATGTATGAGCAGAATACCAAGAGTTTGATAACGAGACAGGTGTTAGCTAACATTTCTATTAGGGCAGCAGGGACTAGTCCTAGTTCGGTGATGGAGAATAATGTTTTGCATTTAAACTTATTTCACTGCCCCTAGTTTGGACAAGCACAAGGTTGAGAATAAGACTTGAATGTAAAAGCAGGATTTCCAGCAAAACTGTCCTAAATACAGTGGTTTTCAATCCATGTCACAGGCCATCAGGTACCACCTTGCGCGTCAAGGCAATGGATCACAATTGTGTTGTTTGGAGTTGTAATAACCTTAATGATACTGACATGATAAAACAGAGGCAATGTTTCCACATCCTAAGAGTGATTTGTAAGGACCAGCGACTGAAAGACTTTCATGCAAGAGACCAGAGATGTGGACATTATGATAAGATATGTCATAAGATATGCCACTGTGTGCATACCGCGACAGTCTGACAAAATGGCGTCCCCAAGTAGACTTTTGCAATTATACTTGGAGAAATGGAAGCACATGTATACCTTTAAGAAAACACATATTTAGTTGCTCATGTGTAAGGCAGCACTGGCTCTTCTCCTTGTGGCATCACTTCCACATTGGCCTTTGGTGCATTTCCCACTGACACGACCATAAAGCCGTCGCAACCCGCTCCCATTAACCTCCCTCACCACAGACTAAACACACATAAATGCTAGCATGGCCCCTGTGCTGCATGCTAACACTTCCTGAGCATAAATCTCCCAGCGGCAAACAGCGGGATGCAGAGCCGAAGTAAATACGTGTAAATCATCTGCGCGCCGATTGTCCGGGGAGTGTTTGCAAAGTGATGGCAGCGATACGGATAAAGTGTGAAAGTATTTAGCCAAGAGTTATTAAACTGCCAAAGGTCAAAAGAAACATGCAAAGCAGCAAGAGGGAGTGCAGGCCCCTTCTGGACAATATCTGTGGGCAGTTGGGATTAGTCCTAAAGTCATAAAGGACACATATCATCAGTCCTGTGGATTATAACTAGGGTTATTTTATTTAATTACAAAATCTCCTTCAATGTTTAACTTTTGCTTTGTCAGTCTTGAAAAGAAGCCATTTTGTCACATATCAACCAATAAGCAATTTGCAGATACGCCATACGCTACTAAACATCAAGGAGAGCCGTGAGAACTATAGCACATAATAATAACGTATTGGTTTTATATAGAACCTTTTGGACACTCAAAGATGGTTCATATTTTTCATTCACTCAATTCAATTCAATTTACTTTTGTATAGCCCTAAATCACAGCAGTAGTTGTTGAATGAAACTGTTTGAGCCATAGAGCCATTGGTCCAGCCGAAGTACTAACGATGACCAATAAAAAAGGAAGGGGAGAGGATAGTGCCAGTGATGGATCCATTCATTTTGCTTGGAAGAAAATGGATGGATAGAATTTCCCTCATCTACCACTAGATTGTGGAGTGTTTCTCGTTTTTTTACTTAAGGATTTATTCAATATTCTAAAATATATTCTATAATTCAGTAAACCTCCATCAACATGGTGCAATTGTTGATGGATATTTTTAGCGCTCCCTGTCATGCAGCTCTGGAGACTTCTATAATAACATTTTCTGTGGGTCTCTTAACACTCATTTGGCTCGGACGACACTCGCTGTTCAAAGCCATTATCATGGATCCATTAGGCTCCTCCGGGACTCACCACACGTCATTTCCCCTGGAGCAGAGGACCAGCTTTTCCATTTGCACCTTAGTTTTTCGGCTTGTGTTGTCTTTCACACTCCTCCTTGTGCACTTTAAAGCATGTTAGGATGTCTTGAGATGAGTTAAAAAGCAAAAAGACTGTTTGGCTTGAATTAAGGATATTTGAGCATTTGACATTTCTCTACTGTCTCTGTTTGTCTTCACAGGCTGGTGGTATTTTTAACCCTCTGACCTCTTCTGGTGAGTCCCATGGGTGCTGGCTTTTCTTCTGTTTCATTTGTGACACTGCTGATAATGGCCGATGGTTAAGGTGTGTTGAAGAAAGATCATAAACATGTATTTTACAATAGTGATAAACAGTTTGGGTCATAAAACATTTTTAGTCTGCTGGGATGCTCTGAGAAAAAGTCTGAGCAGTGAGCCATACCAGACCTTTACACCTGAAACTGCCACATGCAAAACTTTGTTTGAGCCATTGGGCAACACACTTTCCCACAATACCTATTCAAGTGTCTGTGTCTCTGTAAATGTCCCTCACACTTGAGCAGATCAACTTAAGATCACAAAGACAAAACGCACACAAGTTTGAACAGATTTTCCATAGATACAAGCGGAGCTCCAGCCAACTCCTCACCACTCCCTCCCACTGACAGTGTGAGAGCCCACCAACATAAACGTCATTTAAGGCCAAAAGTATTATTTGATCATTCATTAAATCATATTTTGTGCACAGTGCCCACATTTGAGTGACATAGATCAGATTTCACATTTCAATCAGAATATCAATGTGATCCTGCATAAAAGTAAGTAAATACTCTTTATTTATATGGCGCATTTTACAGACCAAGGTCACCCAAAGAGCTTTACAATGTTCAGAGTTCAGATATTGTTCCATTCGCTCCACAAACAGACTGGCGCATCAAAGCCCCCACCAACACCATCCATTCATTCACTGTTACATTCATACCCATTTTTAGTGGTAGGGGAAACCAAAGGAAACCTACGCAGACAGGGGGAGAACATGTAAACACCCCTGAGAAAGGCCCTGTTCCGACTGGGATTTGAACCCAGGACCTTCTTGCCGACAGTACTGCCACCATGCCGCCCATAAACTCCGCTCAATTGTCTCTCGCTCAAGCTCCTCTCTGATCAGCAGCGCCTGACCGGATGCGCCGTGCCCCTCTGTGCATGTGCATGAGAGCCACACACGTATTTGGCGCAAAGATATAAAGGGATACACTGCGCAGAACCGGGAGGACCAGAGTTCCGCTAATCTTTCGGTGCCAATGATGACAAATACTGAGCACAAGCCATTGATTTGAATGGGTCGCCATCTTGGAACACCAGGGCTTCGTGCGCACACACATGAGCCTGAGCACTGGCTGTTTGTTCAGGGACATCCTTCCTGCTCCTCTCTGTTCTCTGAGAGGACATAAGCTGCAGGTAGAAGTTTAAAGCCATGTAACATGGCATGGATATTATTACAAACATGTAATAATATCCAACTAACTAGTTCCTGGCTCTAAAACCGATCCATTCAGTCAATAATTTCCTTTATTTTTGTCCTCTGTTACACAATTATTATGATCTTTTCCAGACAGAAAAGCTAATCAGCTCTCAACCCCAAAGCATCAACATTTTTCTCTTAAGCAAAAGATATCATTTTTCTAATACTGTACCATGCATGTTGTGCTCTGATTAGTTCAAAGCATAAGACAATAGATGGATTTTAGTACATAATTTATGATCTTTCTTTTGAAAAGTAGGTACCCCAGCTTTAAGTAAGCAAGTTCCATCTGCTTATCTAACTTTACATCCAAACTATTGCAATCTAATCGAAGAAATACCATTTTAAAGACTACGATTTGATTGGAAAAACTCCCAAGAACTAATTTTGTTCTTCAAAAAGGCAAAAAACTTCCCCTGCCAATTGCCCAATAGTTTTAAGTCATAGCGAAACAAGTATTTGGACAGAAGGTGCGGGGTTGAGGTTACGTTGTGCCGGTTTATGTCAGAAGAGGAAACTAACTGTTGAATCATGATGCAAAGCTCTAAAACAAGATTCCTAATGCCATGTCCACATGTTAATTCACCTTAGCACCTCACCTCACACACATGGCATCTCTCCTACGCCTTGACCTCCCCAAGATGGCCGTGCGGGTTACTTATAGCTCTGTCAGTTCTTCCACAGGGTTGAGGTCTCTTTAGGTGCTGAACATCTGCTGAGTCGAAGCTGATTTATGGGCTGGATGTGGCGTGTGACTCGGACGGTAAATCAGGCTCTTAAGGGACGGCCTTGTGTGACCATGGACAGTCAAACACACGTGGCTCTTGTCGGAAGGAGAATAGTTTCGCTTTACACGGCGCTCCAGGAGTTGGTGCCCCCCATCGACGGCCAATAACAGAGACTTCCTAATGGAAATCCTCCTGTCCAAGTGCTCATCCTCCTCTGGCAGACAACAAGACAACAATGTTATATCAGAGACAGACAATAAGTGACTCCAAAAACAAGAAGAGATGAAGGTGGTGACTGACGATTACTTTTACGCATAATTTATTTTACCTCTGGTTTATGGAGTGCAACATTAAGAACAAAATAAGTGTTATAACTTAAGATGGTTTATTAAACACTGTCTTAACCAAAACGGTGATGAAGGTACGGGGATGACGGGTGCTGCTGCTGCCAGGTTGAGAGAGAGACTGTGGGTGAAGCCATTTTAGGCCGCCATTTTAAGGGTTCCGGTGACTTCGATCAGGGTGGCTGGAAAACCTGGACCTTGAGAAGAATCTTAGCCCTCCAAAACAATTCCACCCTCATTGTCCAAAGCTATGGTATGAGCGTTGGACAATGAGAAAATGGACAAGATGAGTTTCCTCCACATGGGATTGTGCGCTCCCTGAGAGATGGGGTGAGGAGCTCAATGTAGAGCCAGAGTCAAGGTGGCTCTGTCTTTTGAATACCTTCAAGACGCCTCCCTGGAGAAGTGTTCTGGGCATGTCCTACGTACCTGGAGAAGACCCAAGATACGTGGGGGGAGACAGCATTTCTCAGCTGGCCTGGGATTGCTGGAAAATGTTCTCGAAAAGGAAAGTCTGGGCACACTTGTCCAATATTTCATCCCTACAACCTTCTTTTATTTGTACTTTATTTTTTGACTTTATAATTCTATTGATCAAAATTCCATAATTTATAAACTTAACAAGGCAACAATTATAATGCATAGGAAAAATGTACAGTAAAAACACACACACACAGTCCTAGACATCGATGCACCAACGTCCAAAGAGCTACCCGTCCTACCACGAGCAATATTCACTTTTGAATTGTCAATTTCCTCTTTACATCTTTCATATCTAAATTAGAGTTTTGTTTGAAAATCATTCAGTGCATATTTACTAATATGACCTGGCAGTACAAGCTGTATTGAAAGCAACCAAAGCAAATATTCTAACAATGATTCCAAGAAATCTCCTTGGCGAGAACAATATAATAAATTGTTTTTTGTCGCTGACTTGTATCAATTGTATTTTTTCCAGATTTTTTAACAGCGCACTGACGCAACATGGCCAGCAGCAGGGTGAGGAAACTCCCTTTTGTTTTGCACTCACTAATGTAATCAGATCAATGTGGAGCACAATATTATGACACATATCTTATACATTCCATATTTGGCAGGTTGTATGACGCTGGAGTTGGGATGGCCCCCAGAGCTGCTCCCAAAACATTACGAAAGCAATAGTTATGTGGAGCAGAGAGCAGCTATATGCTTAAGGGGACGTAACATATCCCTGGACAATCACACACTAACATTTGTTCTTAAAGCAATTCCGGTTCTCAAAGTACTGACCATAACCCCAACCCTTGAGCTGTGTTCCCACCGCCGATGCATGGACGTGCGTAGATGGAGGCACGGACACACGTTCACTAAATATCAGCTGCATGAGTTTAGACAATCTGATGTTCTGCCCTGCGTTGGGGTGAAACACAGGGCGAAAGTGGTTGTACTTCTGTATTGGTGAACACGTTAGTTGTTTTCAGTTTCAGTAGAATGTCAACTCAGGGTGAAGACATATGTTTACAAGCCCCGCGTCCCCCATTGTCCTGGTTTAATTCTGGTTTTGGTCATGTTTTGGCTGCTTTAAAATGTCTTCATATTCCTGTTTTTGACCGGATTGTTTCACCGTGACCACCTTGCTGCTCTCTGATTGTTTGCTGCACGTGCGTGGAGCAATGTTTAGTGAATCGCATCTCCTGCTTTCGCTGCATGCATCTAGCCGCCGTACCCACCGCCTCTGCCGCACCGCGACAACACGTTTGCCGCATGGTACAAAAGTGCATGCCGTGACGTACATGCAATTCCTCGCATGGATGGACGTCACTATTGATTTTGAATTGAAACTCGCTGAAACGCATGATCTGGTGGGAACACAGCTTAACAGTTTGTTAGTAGTTAGTTAGATGTTGATTAAGGCAATAATAATAATAATACCTTTAATTTGTAATGCACTTTACATACAAATCTCAAAGTGCTACAGAACAACAACAATAAAAGCACACATCATTAAAGTTAAAACAATGTTAAAACAATGTTAAGAAGGGAACAGAAAAGTTTTAAGTCCTCTTTTGAAGGTCTCCAATGACTGTGGGGCCCTCAGGTGTGGTGGTAGGGCGTTCCACAGTTTGGGAGCAGCTGCCTGGAAAGCCCTGTCACCCATTGTCCGGAGTTTAGTTCTGGGGATGCAGAGGAGGTTGGTGTCTGTGGACCGGAGTGCTCTGGTTATGGGCGGGGGAGTGAGAAGTTCTGTGAGATAGTCCGGGGCAATGTAGAATAAGAACTAATAAGTACTTAAAAAATCCCAATTAAGTTCTAATTAACCATGAATTACACATGAGCACTTAATTAGCTGTTAATTAGTGAGAGCCAAACTAAAGTGTTACTGAAACTTCTGATAAGGGCCAGAAGAAGAGCTTCTGTTGTCGTTATCATTTGAAATTAGAAAACACGTTTATTTGACACAGCTACCAACAGGTAAAGAAAAACACATGTTATTATTCATAATCTAAATTTTGGCCAACATTTCTGTGTCAAACTCTCAAGCACAACCGTCGTTCAGTTTTTTTTTCTGGTTTGAAAGTCAGCTTTAATTGACTAAAAAGAAGCAGATGGTTCTTTCATATAACCCATATTTTGATAGTATTTTATGACCACTATGAAAACCCAAGCCCGCTGACCTGTGCCTAACAAAGCACCTGTTGCGCTCCGGCTGTACTGCTCAATAAAAGTAAATGAGGCTGATGGTGTCGGTCTGGATGTGACTGAGCACAGTTTGCAGGTGCTTTGAGCGCCGGTGTCCTCGTAAATCTCTACTGCTGCTTTTTATAATCCTGCCTTTTATCTGAGCGGAGAGGTGATAGCAGACGGTATCAGCTCCGGCCATATGCTGCTGTGGACACACTCGCCTTTATTGCGCTGTTTTTGTAGAAAGTGACGAGGTTTGATCACCAGGCTCCTACTGTGGAAGGTGTGCTCTTTTCATCTCGTTTCCAAAAGACTGCGCTCGGTTTCAGCCAGGCACTGTAGCGACCACTGCTCCTGACAGAGGCCCAAGTGGCAGATCAGGGTGGGTCAAATGCAGAGCACAATGTTCCCCAAAGGGAGTGTTTTGAGGGTCTTTTCATTTTTGAGTCGTTTATTTTCTCCTGTACCTGAGAATCTTCTTCAAACATATTAAACATACATTTTCTGTTTAAAAATCAACTTCTTTTCTTCTAGTAGTAGTAGGTATGAAGGTATGAAGAAGGATTTAAAAAAGGACAAACGATATAAAAATGGTTGAGCCCAATCTGCTGCTGGTGAAGTTCTTTTGATGTGGTCTCTATTCCTTATGTGGCTCATATTTGGATTTTCCAACGGTATATGAAAATATAAATGCGTGACACAAATGGTTACTGAGCAAAAGAAGTTTACTTGTCAATGTTAGTTAGTAGGAGCCAGAATGAGTTGAAGCAAAACTTTCCTATTGGGCTTTATTGAGCTCCTGGGTTAGCATTGTCTATCTATATACAGTCTATGGGGGCATTGCTACATTCCTAATATGGCCAAAGAAGCCATTACAAGGAGTCGCAGGGAGCTGAGCCCTGAGCAAAGAGAAAATTCAACCTGAAAGGCCGTGTTTCCAAATGTTACCTGCGCCTCATCACTCATCAGCATTGCTCCTCCTTGACACACCAGCTCAGCGTCCAACCTCCATTTCAACTCTCAACCCAGACAATGGATCTGCTTTCCTGTGTGTGAGCCCCTATCACCTCAGTCTAATGGGCTCAACAGTCCATCAGAGTGGGCTCCTCTCTCCTACTTTATCCCTCTCTCAATGTGGGCCTCCCCTTGGTTTCTCACAGATGTGTTGTGACTATTACAACAACACATCATCAGTAGGGTGAATGGGACTGCTCCTCCATTCAGGGAAAAACCTTGTGCATGTGTTTAACGTGTACAGGCAAGCGACACAATCTATGAAAGTTGGAAACATTTTGTCACTCTCATCAATACTACATCCAAAACTCTGATTGTATGTACAATTCCACTGACGGACCAACGATCTGAGCGTGACTGCGACTCCGCTGCAGTGGCGCTCTGCGTGTCTGTTTTTTCTCACAGACTTGGTGGCTGATGCCCATCCCCCCCCATGTGTCGGGCCAATTAGGGGTCTATAGCTGCAAACTAATGCGTATTTAACTACAGCCTGTCAATTTAACTCAGCATATGGTGAGACTTTGAGTCTGACTTTAAGTCAAAAAAAACAAATTGTCAGTCATGCTTCACACGTAGAAACTGTGCTGGGATAACATGAGCACTATGCTCTCATCTTTTCTACTTTATCCCTCTCTCAATATGGGCCTCCCCAACGTTTCTAAATTTTTTCCACTGTTTTTTATTGTTTTTATTTGTTCCTTGCTAATGCAGGAGGGTCTATGGACAGCTTTGATTCGGTACATTTAGGGAATATCACTGGACCCCAAGAAGACAAGCGACAACTGAAAACTAACTAACTAGGGATAAATAAATGAATAAAGGATTTCCCGCTCCCTAATGACCAATGGCTCCTATGTGTTTGTTATTACTGCATTTCATGTGTTTGAACTGTTGGTTCTCTGATGTTGAGAAATCAACCACAATAGAGGTTTCTCTTTTCCTTTGGGTCTTGAGTTTTCTCTAGTCGAGAACAACGGTTAAATGACAGGAATACTCGAAGTATTGATGTATTATCAATTCAACCCAATAATGTCTGTCGATACCCATGTTTGTAATGTCAGTAACGATATATCGATACCTGTTGTTCGCTCATGAGAAGCAGAGTTCATGTTTGTGTAAGAACAAACTGGCTGTGTGTGTGTTTGGACTCCATACTTCCAGGAACAGATGATCAAAGCCTTTCCTCCTGCACTTTAAAAGGATATTTACTGCTCTGTTTATACCCAGAACTTTTTTTCCTTTTTCCCTTTGCTCAAAAAAAACTATGTTTACAAAACTGGCACACAAACACAGACTGGTTGCCTTTACACAACTATTGTTTATTCATTCAAAATAACTATTTACCTCATTCTGAAGTATGTTTGTTATGCATGGGGGGGAGTGGAACTTGGATTTATCAAATTGTTATTTGCTTTATGTGCAAAAAAAATAAATTGAAATTAAATTATTTATTTATTTGTAAAACAATTATTTTTAGCTCATGACCATTTGTGAGGTTTCACTTTCCACTCAGCACCCTCATAAACAAGTTTTCAGAATAGTTACTTAAAGCTTAAAGCCTAACTTTTCTATCTATATTTACACATGTGTGGCCCTCCGACCACCATCAACCATTCATGCGCACTTCACAGCCGCAGCCGCCCCACTTGTGGCATGGTGTTCTTAGAGGTCTCCCATCACAGTACTAACCAGGCCCTGCCTAAAGTTTTTGGCGTTCACCTGCAGGTATGGGCACTGATGTGGGTGTTAGTGATTGGGCCCATGACACAGAATGGTTGCCTTGCTTGCGTCAGTCTGCCTCAGAGCAGTCGTGGCCACTATTTACCACTACCATGTGTGGAGTAAAAACAAATTCCCATTGGAGGTGTCTTTGACTATGGGGCGACAGTGGCTCAGTTGGTAGAGCATTGCCCTTTGGGCCTGAAGGTTGTGGGAGTACGACTTCCACTGCTGTCGTTGTGTCCTTGGGCAAGACACTTAACCCCACTTTGCCTAATGACCCCGCTGAAAGATCAAGGTATCTCAGATTAGAGGATCAGTGTGGGGCTGGTGCTCTGTGTTCTGGGTGCAGCTCTGACTTCCACCCCTCAACCCAGAAATGGATCAAGGGGAAGAAAATGGATGGATGGTAGCTTTGACTTATCATTACCACATATACAGTAAGTATATACAAAAACTATACATTATTATTCATCTTAATAATTTAAATCCTACTAATACATTTGATGAAATGCTCAGCCCTAGTTAACTCCCAAAGCTTCCTCCACCGCAGGTTCATTCATTCAGCTGTTTAGTCGGACACGGCACCAGACCGATGCGCATATCGCCTTTCCCGCTCACTCCTGTTGCCGCGGCGGTTGGCGGTAGTTCTGCGGGGGGGTTGGGGCTTGGTTGATCATGTAGCGCTGATCGGGTGTTCAGCCACAGCAGCCTGAATAATTGAAGGCGTAGTGGTCGAAACGGCTCGGGTTTCTGTGGGTTTGGCGCGTGGAGCTGACCATTGTGGAAGACCATTCTATAGGATAATCCTGCGCCCAGGCTGGTAAACGGCAACGAACATGACAAAGAACAGCTCTGTGACAAGAATGAGGAGGAAAATATTTAATTGTTTGTTGGTCCTCTTTTTTTTTGCTTTTCTGTCTGATTAAGCTGATCTTAACATGCAACAGAGGCGAAAAATACATGCATGTGAAAACTAGTGATGAAACCAAAGTGTTTGAGAGCCAGGAACTAGGGATATGGATTGTTTATTAGGGTTTGAAAGTTAGATAGCCAAGCTTTAACAAGACAAATACTTTGCTATCCAAAATATTGCAACATGATCATAAACAGACTTCGGGTTGTCTATCACTTTATCCACCAACTTCAGAAAACGGACAAAAAAACACGCACACACACGCACACACACCCCTCATCTTTCGGCCCCTTCTGTCTAAGTGTTCTGTTTTCAAACTCATTAAACTGTGGCGATTCCTTAAGTCATAGCATATCATTTTACATATTACGTCATATCGCGCCATGTTAGATTAAGATTCACATTTTAGAATCATTTCCCACTTCTTCTGCTAGGCGGGAGAGTTGGTGTATCTCTTATCTAAAACAAAAACAAATTCTGCTTTAACTTTGATTTTCCTTCGGTGACATTTTCAACAAATCTGTGAATCTCCCTCCATCAGAGACAGAAGCAGAAAATACCAGCAAGTGTCTGATCCAATCCCCACAGTCACACATCATCTTTTTGCAGTGCAGAGAAGCCGCTGGGGCTCGTGCTGCTGTCGTTCACACCATTGTTTCCTTTCACTACGACCCTATGTTTACATCAACTGTATCGAGGAAAGGCATCATTCACTTTCGCATGAAACCGCACTGAAGGACATGATTTAGAGACGCTTCCTTTCTGCTACACACTTAACATCCACAAAAGATCCAGAAGAGCTTTTGTTTTGGACGTGGAGCCATTAGCACTTCAGATGTCGTGATGTATTGTTAGCTTTATATATATAGTATTATAAAAGGGGACATGTCACAATGGACTTTTCACAGCTTTCTGTTCCCTTGTCATTTACATTCACTCAGGTTCAATTCAGTCCGAAATATTAGAGTGGTAATAAAGTTGGAATACAGAAAAGCTTGTAATTCTTTTGAAATTATTTATTTAATATTACATTTGTGCAACAAACTCTGCTCGCTCTCGTCCTGTTAGCTCTGCTCTGAACAGCGACGTGCTGATTGGTCAGATTGCTAAGTGTCCCACACCTTTCACACAGCTCCAAACAGGAAAGACAACAAGAAGGATGTCTTCTTTTACTTCAGATGACTTTATTTTGATCAGATGACTTCCATCAGTGGTAATAATCACTGTGGCTTTTAATATTTAGGTTCAGTGCGCTGTGCACAACACACACATATCATTCAAACGAGAAGAGAACTCTTCACACAGACCTGTGGGAAAACTCACAAAAACTCATTTAGGGAAAGTAAAGAGTTCTCTCCTCATACACTGGGTTCCACACATAGTGGATTTTGGGCTTAAATGAACTCATGGTTTTTTCTCCTTGTGGAGGCTCATATCGCAGAGGAGTGGAGTGCAGCGGAGACAGTGGGCCTTTAGGTCAGACTGCAGAGGATAGGGCTGTAGTGTTTCAAAGGCAATGCTTATAAAGTCTCAAATAAATAGATTGCCCCATAATTTTTAGATCACCATGCATTATCTTGTTGACTTGAAGGTATAGGAGGATTTTCTACTTCCAGGTGTATCATCAAGACTATTGGTCCTCCCAATTTTACGTGCTCGTCAAATAAGACCAGAAAGTTTTGATCAAAAAGTTGAGAGGGCAGTTCTTTCTTAAAATTTGGGAAAATCCTCTTATATACCTTTTACGTACTTAATGAGTACTTTTTACTACACATTAAGTACATCCCATGCACATACGTTTTTCACATTCAAGAATCAGTAGCATTTGAAATGTTGTCATTTTAAAACATAAATATGCAGTTTCTCACCGCCTGCTTCACACATACAGTCACACCTCTTCCTCTGGTCCACAAAGCCAAAGACTTTAGAAACTGTGAAAAAGGAGTTGCTGGGCTGGAAGGAAACTTATGCAATATGTAATAAAGTATGTATCAACACTAACTTTTAAATCCTGTCAGTCCAATAGCACAATAGCACTGTACTTTTACAATCATGTCCATTCAAAAAGTAAACACTAGTTAAAACATTGGGATGAAAAATGTAGGTAAAATCCTTAACAGTGAAATGCCAAAAAGCCATTGATGGTTCTTTTTAACGGAAGGGCTGCAAAATGTTTTTCTCATCGTCTGTATGGAGTATACGACACCGACAAGGTTCAATAACGTCTGATACTTTTTTCAATTCAATATATTTCAGAACATATAACACAAATTCACCAAACGAGTGTACATTCATGCATGTTTTTCAAAAGGGGTTGGATGAAGCAGAAGCGTCCAAGCCCCCTCACCCTGCCAACCCAAGACAAGACAACATGGAAGAAAATCATTCAAAAACAAGAAAACAGTAGAAAAATAACACAACACACAGCTTTCCTCTACATATTTCCTTTTTGTACAGTTTGTTTAAATGCAATCAGGTTTAAACATGATTTTAAACTGTTCTGAAGCATTATTATATTGTACATCTTTAAAATGCGTCTATTTTCATATATAAGGACTTTGCAAAATACCACTATTATATTTGACCTAAATTTAAGGATTTTAAGACAAAATATCCAAAATATTAAGATTAGCAATCATCAACAATCATTTCAAACAGCATCTACATCTTATCTCAGATTCACACAACTATTCGGTGTAAGAATGTGGTTTTGCCGTGTGTGCACGGTGTTGCCACGGCTACTGTCACTCAGCAGATTTCTCAGAATGGAAACTGACAGTGCGCTCCGAT